CAGCTTTAAAATATAATAATTTATCTTTCAAGTTTTAAAGTTTTAGCGGAGTAATATGAACTTTTGATAATATTAGAGGGACTCTGTTCTTCTCCAATTAGATGATAAATGGTGAGAATACAAATCCTATAATATCTACCTTGTATCTCTAATTCAAATGCAAGATAATGCACATAGGATTATCCTAATTAAACTAGCCAGTTGTTTTAAAAACTACTATTGTGAATTTGGCATATTTAATTTTTGATAAAATTAGACATTTCTATAAACAACTCTCCTATTCACCTCTCCATTGTCAACTAAACAACTCCCTCTCAAATTTATTTTATTTATAATTACTTTATATTTATTATAATTCCTACATTATGTGTCAGCATTTTTTATAAATGTGCTTACGACAACACAATTTTTTCTTTCCTTATTTCTTTGTAAATCCACGTACTGCACAAAGCAAATGTTTGCTGTGTGCAATGAATATAATTATTTACTAATTGTCATCTAGATTAGCAATAAGTTTGTTATTGGCTTTGCATAAAGTAAGGGATTAATTACATCCTGATATCTTGTGTCATAGTATACTTATACAGGTGACCTTGGGGTTTGTGTATCTACACATATAACTCTGAAATTACTACTGAGATTATATGGATAACCTTGGTGAAACTAATCTTAGAGTAGTTAGGACCACTCGTGTAAGATCAGTCAATAATCTTAGGGTTATTTATGTAGATACACAAACCCAGGGGTCACTTGTAAGTTTACACAATATCACGGGGCATATAGATGTAATTAATTAAATTCGGGATGAAGTTGATTAGTTGACATCTACTTGGGAAGGTTAATTGGAGAGTTGTTTGTAGAAATATATATTTGATTTTATCAAAACTTAAATATATCGACCGAATCCATCATGGTAGGTTTCAAAACCACTTGTTTAATTAGGATAATCTTACATGTCATTATCTTGCTCTTTGAATTAGAGATAAAGCCATAAAGGATAGAGATTAGAAGAATTGGACCCTCTCCAACTACCATCTAATTTGGGAGGAACTGAATCCGTATTAGAACATTCAATGTTCAAATCCTATTAGTCGCGAATTTAAAAAGAGGATTTCTTTTTTTAATAATTTAACACAAGTACATGAGTTCATATTTCAATCCATAAAAAGGATGAATCTATTAAAGCATGTGAGAATATAAAAATATAAATATCAACTTTAGGATACGCACTCTGTTAAATCTATAACTCTCTTACCTAAAAAATAAAAATATCCAATCAAAGATAGTGATAAATTTCTAAATGATAAATTTCTAAAAGAATTAAAACTTTGATGTGTCACTTTATCTGATCTAAATGAAACCACTATCAACATGAACTCTCTCTTTTTTCCATTTGACACTACAACAAATTGCACTTTTCCCGACGCTTATTCCCAACGCATGGTTAAAAACGTCGCCAAAAATTATGTTTTTGCCGACGCTTTTAGTTAGCGTCGGCAAAAAATATATATTTCCAGACGTTTATAATTAGCGTCGCTAAAAGTGTATATTTTTAGCGACGTTTTAACTTAGCGTCGGTAAAAGTTATGGATTTCCCGACGTTTTTTTATTTTCGTCGGCAAAAGTATAGCATTTTAGCTACGTTTTAGGATTAACGTCGCTAATAGTGTGCATTTATGGCGACGTATTAAACTAACGTCGCTAAAAGTGTTCTTTTCACAACGTTCCTCCTTGGCGTCGCTAAAGGTTACATTTTTTACGACGCTTCTTCGTTTATCAGCGTCGCCAACCCTCCCCACGAAATTTTCCCCACTCGTACAAAGGAGGGAAAATTCCCCCCATTTATTTTCACGAAGAGCTAAAAAACCCCACCCCTGTTCTCTCTCTCATCAGAAAATTCCCCCGTTCTCTCCCTCTTCCTCCTCTCATCCTCAGCCATCTCTGCTCTCTCCTTCACCTCGCCATCAAGGGCGGAGGATATTCCTCTCTTTGGGCTGAGGAAGAAGCTGAAGAAGGTGGAGGAGGAGGCGGAGGCGATCGTGAAGGAGGGCGAGGAGGTTGTCGAGAAGGAGATTCAGGTGGCGGAGAAGGGGATCGAGGTGGTGGAGGAGAAGATCGCCACCGGTGAGCTAGGGTTTGGTGCTGGGGGGGTTGTGCAGGCCGGAGTGGTGGCAGGAGCGGAGGCGGTCGGGGTTTTGGTCGGAGTTTCGGTTGTTAATGGGATTCTTGGTCCTGAGGGAAAGAACCCCTGATTTCCCCTCTTTTGCGGTCATTTTTCCATCTCTTTTTAAAGTTTGATGTATTGAATGGAAGTTTAAATCTGTGGAATTAAGATTGTTTACTTATTTAATTGCTATGTTTTGCATTTGGTGCCTTTTATTCTTTGTAGTGAGAAAGCAATGCGATTTGCCCCCTCTTTTGCGGTCATTTTTCCATCTCTTTTTAAAGTTTGATGTATTGAATGGAAGTTTAAATCTGTGGAATTAAGATTGTTTACTTATTTAATTGCTATGTTTTGCATTTGGTGCCTTTTATTCTTTGTAGTGAGAAAGCAATGCGATTTGCCCTTAAGATGATGAAATAGTTGCGAAGGAAAAGGAAAATGCTGGTTACATTATTTTCTTCTTCCTCTTCTGTGTTCTCATTCGTTCACTTACTTATGCTCTAGCCAGAGAACCCCTATTAAGAAACTGAAGTTGTGCATATTCTAAGGATGTTAGCATCTTGTGTTATTTCTAGTTCCTTCTGGGTACATGCAAATACAAATGCAATTGAAAAGGATACAATATATAAACCTTCGATATAATTCTCATTGTGAATTTTTGTGATCAAAGTACTTCATTGAAATGATAGGCTCCATAAACCATTGACATCCACATCATTTTTTGTCTCCTTGTAAAGGTTTCACAAACACAGTGAGAATTTGTAGGCATAAAAGTAGATATTTAAGATAATGAGAAATTTGAAGGACAAGGAAAACATTTTAGTTGATGACACTTTAGATTTAATAGGTTATCTATTAAGATTCTTGTTTAGAAATTAGTATTTTACTTTTAATTCTAGCTTTTGGAGGGATCGATTGTGCAAAGAGTTAGATCTCGAAAAATTTCAGACAACTTTGGGTTGTTATCGATGAATATGGACAAAGTATGGCCATTTCGACATGAAGTTGTGCAGCTCGGATACACGAAGCAGACTTGACACTTATAGCTATAGACATTCTTTCCTATGTACCTGTTTTGATATCTCAGTGTATCCTGTATGTATCAACATGCCTATGTTTGTGTCTGTGCTTTTTCGAATCCAACAGATATCTTTAGGAGTAATAAATAAGTCACCCAATTGAGCTGAATATAAAGAGATAAAGGAGAACAATCATTTAAGGTACGATCCATTGACAACAGATCTGTATAGGACCGAAAATCACAAGGAAATGTCCATTGGGATTTATATATCGAACTAAAGGGAAGAAATTTCCATATAGACAAAAGAAAAGGCTGTAAATTTCACCACATTTTTGGATAAAACCAGAAGTCTTATTCCAATATTTAGCATGGAAGAGAACTTTTTTTTACATCTGAAGATAGCTTAGGAAGTTTGGCTCAGGTTCTATATTGTTGCCCATTCAAAGGCTAAGGTGTGAAGTGTATGTTCTGTCTTAAATGAACAATGAAGTGGACTTGGTTTATTTGAAACAGAATTTCCAATTAACCCTTTCCCCTCACAGTCTCTTCCATGCTCTTTCCTTTGGTTCTCTCTTTATATTTTTGCATTGACAAATGTGTTTAGCCACCAACCACTAGTGGAAATAACAGTATCCCTAACGGCAACATCGCTGACGGGAAAATCCCGTCAACGTTGTTTTTATCGCTGACGGGAACTCCCGTCAGCGATATTCCCGTCAGCGGTTCTTCGCCCCCGTCAGCGATGAAAACATCGCTGACGGGATGTAAACATCGCTGACGGGCAACCCGTCAGCGATGTTTGCTGTATAACTATTTCGCTGCGACCTTTTCTTCGTAGAAACCCTAATACTCCTCACCGACCGCCGCTCGCCCTCGATTTCACCGCCGCGCGATCTCAGCTCAGCCACTCGCCGTCCTAGCCCGTTCTTTGCTTTTTTCACCTTCACACTGAATTACAACTCTCACTTAGACCCAAACAACTGTCTGCTCCAAATATGCAACATTGGTCATTGAGTGAATAATGATTGCCTTGTGCTGTTGTATTTTTTCTCTCAAACCCACTTCTTATTCCAGATCAAATTGGAAGAAGCGCCTTTATCTAGACAAATTCGTAGTTCCGTAATTCATTGCAGAATATCACAAGTTTTCAAGAGCTAGGAGAACTAAACTCTAAAGATATCATCTTTTTAGAGGAAATTAGACTTTTAAGGTCTAATATGTTGATCCTTCTTCCTTAATTAAATTATTAAACCACACTAACCACTGATTCTAATTTCAACTTTTTAAAATCTTAAACTGGTTGTTATTACAGGTGGGTAAATTCACCTCCTTGCGAAAATTACGGTAGTGGAACTAGCAATATTGGCATGGGCACCCCACTTCCTTCTGAAATCAGTTACGGTGGTTCTCGTGTTGAACTTTATAGGTAGGTTAGAAAATTTTAATATCATATTCTGATGTTTCCAGTAAATTTATTTTTATCTGCACCATTATGTAGGGTTGCATCAATTTCATTTACACAAAAGAGACATGTACCTTAGATATTAAGATATTCTCCTTTGTTTAGTATATATGGCAAAGTACTAAGAAGAGGTACATGAATGTATTAGGTCAGAAAATGACACCTCTATACGCATGTGTGTGTGTGTGTGTATAAAAACACACACAAACACACACATACATTACATGGCCATGATCAATTCTCTCACAAACACACCATAGATTGTTATAAAACAGGTTTAGATAAAAGTGTGTGTGTGTGTGTGTGTTTTGGGTATTGCTTATTGAGGTATGTTTTGGGCAGGAAACTTTATGCTATAAAACAGGTTTAGATAAATGTTCTTGAAGTAGTAAATTATGATCATCATTTGATGTTCCTCTTACTGGAACGAGGGTAGTTAAGCTTTTCCATTGGAATGTATTGGTTAGAGAGCATGACTCCTGTGATGTTAATACTTAAAAGAGTCATTAATTTTCCTACTTTAGTTTCGCACCATATTTAAGATTGTACAGTAGTCAGTAGGCTTCAACAATTTTTTTTTAAATGCAAATCACCAAACAGCCCATTCGAGTTGTAAATGTTTACATACTATGTGAGTGATTCAGTGGCGTGAGAGGAACATAAAATTAGAACCCACACGAAGGCTAGAAGAGAAGTACATGCACAAATTATGACCCGACAATCGTGTTGACCAAGTTGATGCCAAAAAAAAGTGATGTCTGTTATTTGGTAGATTTGTAAATGTTTACATACTAATGATTATATGTCTCAAAATTTTCCATTAACTTGTTCTGACTAATGAGTATGCAGTTGAAAATCTTGGTATCTTGCTGTATGAAACTACAAAACTAAGTTCTCAACATGTTACCAAAATAAATTATTCTACTTTAGATATGAAGTAGAATAATTTTCCTTGTTTAGTTGTTAAAGCTTTTCCTCGGTACACTCATTTAATGAAATTACAATATATGTTCACTAATTAGTTTACTTATTTTGTATAACACGAAGTATTTGAAAACAATTAAAAGTGATGAAATGCAGGCTAAAGCTTTCTTCATATGTGCAATTCCCCACATTAGCTTCATGTCCGGACAAAGTTGGTAACTTCACAATTCTTAGAATCAAGGATACATGAAATTCATGAATTTTATTTCATTATGTGAAGAACATCAGAACTGAGATAGTGATTGCATCATTTGTTGCATTCCCCACATTAGCTTCATTTCATTTCATTTCATTATGTGAAATTCATAAATTATTCTTGATGGCTTCCTTTTGCCACCATCTGGGGTTTCGAGCTCGGCCTCGCGCGCCATCTCAAGTACCCCTCTCTCTCATTTGGTAATTTGCAGCAATTATTTTAAATTTTTCGTGATGATTTCGATTGATTTACTTCTCTCAGCTTCTATTACAGCTTGATCTTGTTATATTTGTTTTGAATTCGTAATTGTGATCAATTTTAAGGAATCTGTTACCATTATAAAGAGGAAATATGTGATACTGAATTCTCAAGATCATTTAGGATAATTTCGATCTAGAACTTTTAGCAAATAATATCAGATTTCAGTATGATATTTCGACAATTTACTGGTAGTTCGAAGTCTTGGATCGTGGGAGGAACGGGGAAAAAAATCAAGTAATTAAGAATTATTCTAATCGTTTGTATTGATTGTAGAATACCCTCTTCTTGCTTTACATTTGTGATTTTGTGTGTCTATGGTTAGAAGTATCTTATACCTATATGCTACTGTTATGGACATCTTTGGGTAAATTTTTTGTCACGTTGAATACAGGTGAACACTAAGCCATGCAAATGACAATGAGTTGATTATTATGCCACAATATAGAGTACCTTGGCTTGAGTGGGATAGGCGATATCTATCTGTTCTTGCTGAGGGAAGTAACGAATTATATGAGTTCAAGAATTAGGATGCAAGTATGTGGAAGTGTTTTCTTAGAGGAGGAAGAGGAACTGAGACAAGTTATGAATGGGCATAGTCATGACAAATATAAAAGCTTCTACCCAATACATACATGTAAAATGGAAAATATGAACATTGGTGCTCTGTGATTGTTGCAGTGTACAATTTACTTTTGGTATTATTTGGTGATTTGCTCATAAAATTTCACAGAAATAGAAGCATCAGTATCTCAGATACAAGGAGGAGGATCCATGGAGGCCGACAACGAAGACAAATATACAAGAGACGGAACCACAGACTTCAGAGGACAAATGATGTATCCTTGGTTTTTCTACTTGGTTGGTCCAGCCGATATAACAAATGTGGTCAGGCTGATGGGGCTTCTGACATTCCTACCAAGTTCCTGTCCTACACTGTATGCGAGAGGCAAACACTATTGCAAATGCACTATCTAAATTGGGACATGTTCTTCCTCAAATCCATTTGTTCTTTGTAATTAATGATACAAATTTGATATTGTTGTTTCTAGTTTTCTTGATATAATATGTTTTTGAGAGATTTTATGTACTTGGATATGCAAGAGGAAGTTTGTAAATTAACGCTTTTAGCGCTCAAGGGGAAATGAAAAAATAGACTTTTATGTTGATGTGAATGGGATCAAATTTTTTGTGGATGTTCAGATTCAGTGTAGGCTTGTATTTGACAGAAAATATATTATTTTTGACGATACAAATTAGTGTCGATAAGCGTCAATAAAAGTAACACTTTTGCCGACGTTATATTTCAATAAAAGTAATATCTTTTGGCGACGCAATCTTGCGTCGGCAAAAGTATACTTTTAGCGACGCGGAATGGAGTGTCGCTAAAAAGCTTATCTTTGGCGACGCATGATTTGCCGCTAAAAGATGTACTTTTCCCGACGCATGTCGCGTCGCCAAAAGTATACTTTTGGCGACGCAGTGTATTTGCGTCGCCAAATACATTCCTTGACGCACTTTTGGCGACGCGTTAGCGACGCTGTATTTTTCGTCGGGAAATATTTTTCCCGACGT